TCCCAGTTCTCTGGGAGAGCTGGGGAGTTCTACTGGTCTGGGTCAGTTTGGTTGATTTCTTCTGGGCTTGCTCAGCTGGCCGGCTGGGTTTTGGCTGGACAGTCTGGTGTCTGGCAGACTGTAGGCTGGAGCATCAAGGGAAGACCGGGCCATATGTGTCTCAAAATCCTCAGGCTAGCCCTGGGGTTCCACATGGCAGCTGGAGTTTCCAAGCCTCTGCTTGAATCACATTTGCTGCCAAATTGTCGGCCAAAAAAAGTCACAAGGGAACCCAGATTCAGGGAGGCAGAGAGAGAGACCCCATCCCTTGATTGGAAAGAGCCACAAACTTTTGTGGCCCTTTTGTAACTCATCACCCTTAGTCGGTCTTGACAACAACCCTAAAGTTCTTTTACAGATTAGCAAACAGTGGCATAAAATAATCAGATAACTTGTTCAGGCAGTGGTTCCAGGGTGCCCACCCCGGCTAGTCTGACGACCTCCACGCTCCTGGTTTGGAGGCTGCCTGCAATGAAGAGCTCAGGTTTGACTGGCCCCAGACAGCTGATCAGATCCCATCTCCGTCACACATGTTCCTGGCACATCGCAGACCCTCCATAATTCCTAGTAACTTTCTTCCCTTCCCTACGTGGTGTATATTAGCTTCCTTCCTTCTTTCCTTTCTTTAACAAATGTGTGACCACCAATTGCATGGCGATACTGTCCTAGGTGCTGCAGATACAAGAGTGAACAAGACAGGCAAAGACTTGCTTTTATGAACCTTACCTACATTCTAAGGGAAGACAGAATGAAAAAAAAAAAAGCAAGTTCAATTGCCCCTGGAACAACATGACTTTGAACTGTGTGGATTTACTTATACATGGATGTTTTCCGATAAATATAGTACTGTAAATGTATTTTCTCTTTCTTTTCTCAAGCGTACTTAATTGTAAGAATATAGTATATAACATACAAAAAACTATGTGTTAATCAACTGTTTATGTTATCAGTAAGGCTTCTGGTCATAGCAGGCTATGAGTAGTTAAGTTTTGGGGGAGTCAAAAGTTATATGCAGATTTTCGGCTGTGCGGGGGTCCATGCCCCTTATCCCCACATTGTTCAAGGGTCTGTTGTATGTAACATTTCAGGTGGAGGTAAATACTACAAAGAAAAATAATATCAGGGCAAAGGATCTGAGTGTCTAAAGTCAGGGGACACAATTTACAGGGTTGTGATTTGGGCCCAGAGACTTGACCTCTCTGAGACTCATTTTTCTCTCTATAAAATAAGACTGTTGGAGAAAATGGTAGCATTAGTTACCCTCAGAGAGAGAAGTGGTAAGGGGATAGGAGAGAAACTTTCCACCGTATAATCTCTTGATTTTTTTTTTTAAGTGAGACTCTTCTAGCCCTAAGATTTGATGAACAATACAGTATAATATTATTTGTTGCTCACAGTTTTTCTGAGTCCTAAAAGCCCCAAGAGCTATTAAAAAAGAAAATGGTTGACTAGAGGAAACATAGGAACACACATTTTTTTCTTTCACTTAACATGATCTTAGTTTCTCTCTCTTTTTTAAGATTTTATTTATTTGAGAGAGAGAGAGAGAGAGAGAGCGAGCAGGGGGAGGGGGTGAAAAGAGGGAGAAGCAGACTCCCCCTTGAGCAGGGAGCTTGATGCCAGGCTTGATCCTAGGATCCTGAGATCATGACCGGAGCTGAAGGCAGAGTCCTAACCGGCTGAGCCACCCAGGCACCGCCTTAGTTTCGGTCTTAAGTAACAAAGAAAGTGGGGGAAATTGTGCACTAACAGATATTGATGGCTGACCATTTCTATCACAGGATTTGGCTGTAGGAATTCAGGGTTCAATAAACTTGATTTCTACTGAATTTTTAGGAGCTTATCCGTAAATAGGGATGCTGCCACCTGAAAGTTGTGTGATCACTCAGAGGGCACATCATGGAAAAAGCAGGTGTTTTGTAATCCGGCATTTCTGGCCTCTATTAAGTCTAAATCCTGACTCTTAGCTGAATAACTTTTGGTAACTTAACCTCCAGGCAACAGTTTCTTCATCTATAAAATAGAGATACTGATCACAGTCCCTGAACCACATTTCCCAACTCAGAAATGGTCTGAAGATGAGAAGTGTTTTCATAAATCTGGCTCAAAGTCATTTGGCAGCAAACCTGCCCCGAACTGAAGTGATCCTGGCTTAGTATAAATATTCAAATGATTTGCTGAAGAAATATTAACAATTAATTATGGGATATTACTCTTAGCAATTGGGGCTGTGTATGCATCTTACTTCCTGTTTTCTAAAGCACTAAAAATGCTGAATTCTGCTACACATCTGGCCATGAAGTTTGAATGAAAGTGGATATAGGTCTGTAATATCTTCCTTAAAGGGTTTTGTAAGGATAAAAAGTAATATTTGTATTGTGCTTGGCATACAGTAGCTGCCCAGTAAATGGTAGTTATTAATCTTACTGTTAGATAAATTTCGTTAAGTTTGTGGGGTTTCTCCCCATTCTGAGGAATCTGCATTCAAGTCTTAACGAAAGCTGTGGGAACGGTTTGTAGCTGTTCACCTGTGGAGCTGTCGTTCCTGGGAGTCCCGGTCCTGGGAGTTCAGTCTCGCACTTCTAGCCACTGCACACTCTTCCTCCAGATGCCCTTCATCCCTGTTTTTCTCTCACTTGAGAGTTCTTGGGAGCGTACTTCATGTCAGACAGCAGTGGAAAACATCAGGGGGTTTTAGAGACAGGCAGCAGTTAGCCCTGGTCTTTTTTCCGCCCTCTCCTCCCTGGCAGCTCATGGGAATCAAGCAGTGGAAATTTTCATATTGAGTCGAGTTTTCCAGTGTTTAATAGTTGTATCTTCCCGTATCTTCTTGGCAATTTGAGGAAATTATTGTTACGGAGTGAGGAACTGAAGCAAATAGGTGACAGGAAAAAGAATGATGAAGGAAGGACACAGAGAAGGGATTTATTGACCTTGTATATTTTAAGAGTGGAGGAGGTGTGTTGATAAGGAGGGGTGGTATTGCTTAAGGTTGTTGCTCTTCAAAAACCTGTCCAGCTTTTATTGGAGCTCACAGAAGTCAGCCCCCAAACCATTAGTGGTAGCTGAGGATTAAAACGTTTGGCAATGCAGTGAAAGGAATCATTGTGGCCTGGTAACAATAGTTTCTGTGAAGAGCTGCCATAGAACTCAATAATGGCTGTTATTCTGTTTCTTTTACTTGACTGCAAAGCCTGGCCTCTCCACACTTGAGAGGGAAGGAGTTGGTGAATGGTTTTTAAATACTCTTAACAGGGGCCCCTGGATGGCTCAGTCGGTTAAGCATCTGCCTGGGGCTCAGGTCATGGGAGGCTCCCCGCTCAGTGGGAGTCTGCTTCTCCCTCTTCCTCAGCTGCTCCCCCTGCTTGTGCACTTTCTCTCTCTCTGTCAAATAAATAAATAAAGTCTTTTAAAAATAAATACTCTGAACATATTCATTTATTCATCAGACTTTCACTGAGTATATTTATATGCCAGACATTGCATGAAATGATTTTACTAATATATGGTGCTCAGTAAACATTAATTTTTACTAATCACTTTTTATTGAACATGGCAAGGAAATGAAATTCTCATGATTATGTGATTTTTTTTAAGCTTTACTCTTGATAATATGATATGCGTCCATGATAGGAAATTGAGGAAATAATACACATATAAAAAAGAACATAGGTCCAGTCCACTAGGGTTCAGGGTTCACTGTTAACCTTACAAAGTGCCTGTGGTATTTGCCACCAGTGGATAAGCCATGTGTGTATTTTAAACCACTCTCCTGTTAGATATTTCAAATGTTTCCTTCTCTTAAAAAGAGAGTAAGGGAGACTGGGGGTTGAGGGGGTATGTGGGAACTCTGGACTTTGCACTGTTTTCCTGTGAACTTAAAACAGCTGTAAAATTAAAGTCTGTATAAAACAAACCCACAGCAATTCTTTCAGATATGCTTGCTTTGAAAATTCGGTGCTTTTTTTTTTTCCCCTGGGAAAACTGATTCTTGTTTTCCTTAGGGAAGAGTAAAGTTCAGGAAGCAGCTCATTACAGCTCACTAATTTGAAAGAGAAAGAGGATTAGAAATCTTTTTTTTTTTTTTTTTTTTGAGATTTTATTTATTTGACACAGAGAGAGCAGGAGAGCACAGGCAGGGGGAGCAGCAGAAGGCGAAGCAGGCTCCCCTCTGAGCGGGGAGCAGGCTCGATCCCAGGATCCTGTGATCATGACCTGAGCTGAAGGCAGTCTTAACTGAGCCACCCAGGTGCTCCGAGGATTAGAAATCTTAAAAGTAATAGCTTTCCAGAGGATAGAAGACCTTTAACAGGTGTTAAAGAAAAGCCAAAGGTGAACAGTAGTTAAAGCAGTAAAAACAGGTTTTATTCAGAACAGCCATTGCAGTAGGGAAAAAGAGACCTCAGTATAGAACTGGGCTCAATTCTGAATACAACGAGGAAAAATGGGAGCAGAGTGGAGGGGTCAGTGGATTTAAAGTGATGAAGGTGGGAACATCTGGGGTGAGGGACATTCTCGCCAAACGACCTAACCTAAGGGGACAGGGCGATGGGATGATGGGGACTGAGGAACCCTGCCGGACAGTCGCGGGGATCAGTAGCAGGATTCTTGCTAAAATTGGGCGATGCAGGGATAGACACAGAAGTACGAGAGTGGAGGGTTCAAAGGAGCTGGACTAAAGTTTGGTGAAAGATTCTGGCACCAGGAAGACGAGCCAGCTTCTCAAGAGTGGCCTGGGCTCCGCCAGCCGCCCGTGGGTTCCAGGGACAAGAGGAAGATTTGGAGGGAGGCACCGGGAGCGAAGGGGTAGCCAGCTGGGTGGCGGGGGGGGGGGGGGGGGGGGGGGGGGGGGGGGGTGACGACGGGCGGGGTTGACCTCGGCCCCGGAGGGCGGGCCAGCCGTGAGCCCGCTGGGGTGGAGGGAGAGCCGGCCCCGCCCCTCGGGGGCGCCTCCCAACCTCGCTCAGGTCTATGGAGGAAAAACTCTACGCGGGCCCTACGACTCCGATGGCCGTGGCCGCCTGCGGCATCAAGGCCATGTCCCTGTTCAAGCGGACCTTGGTGCTGAGCCCCGCCGCGGCACCCCGGGGCACGGGCACTGCCGCAGGCTCCGCGCCGCGCGGCTGCCCCTTGTCTCCCGCCGCCTGGCCCTCCAAGGACTGGCCGCGCGGGGAGGGCGTCTGCGGCAGGCTGCGGACCCCGCCGGCAGCCGGCCGCCTGCCCCTGTCCCACTCCTGCCGCTCTGCATCTCCCACCTCCGCGTGTCTTTTCTGCCCCCAGGACTCGCTGAGCAGCAGCTTGAAAACTTGTTACAAGTATCTCAATCAGACCAGTCGCAGTTTTGCAGCTGTCATCGAGGCGCTGGATGGGGAAATGCGGTGAGTGGCCAGACAGCTCCTTTTCACTTGGGGGAGGAGAGCTTTCCCCGGGGACTGGGACGTTGAGCCACTACTTTCTGACAGCCCCTAGCGTTGCAGTCTCCGCTGGTGGCTCAGCTGGAGCGTGCCCCACCAGAGTGAAGGCAATGTTCTGGTTGGAACACCCATGTATTTACTTTAGAATGCCCTTCCAGGCACTTTGCCATCTAATAGTGTCCCTGTGGGCCCAGCTCTTTCAGGGAAGCGGGGAGGAAGGGGGGGGTTGGGGGTGGGGGAGGGTGGTGTTTATTGACTTTTTTTAGTCCTGGCGGCTGAACCTGTCTCTGAGTAGGTCATGCATTTTTCTTGGCTTCACTATGCTACTTTGCAATTCTAGCATATGGGGTTAATTCCAATGAAGTAGCTATTTTTTTTTTTTTTTAAGTTGTGTTTAAGTAATCTCTATACCCCACCTGGTGCTCAAGTTTAGGACTCCTGACTGAACCAGCCCAAGTTCCTTCTGGGCAGATTGCATACATGAACCTAGACCAATTGCCTTTGTGTATGACAGTATACTATTTTGACTATTTATACTATTATACTAATTTGACTTTATTTTTTATCTGCAAAAATACCAGGTCCGTGTAAACACTTGGCCTGTCGATTTTTGTACAGCTGTTCTATGTTGGTTAAATGTAACTCATTCTGGGAGTAGTTGTGACATCCAGCTGGTAGGGGTTTTTTTATTTTGTTTTTTATAAATAAACCACTGAAGTCCATTGCTCCCATCTAAGAAAGGAAAACTAAGATGGCTTGTTGAGTACAAAAAGCTTTGGCTATCTTTCCATAGTTCTTTAGGGGTAGGGCCGTAAGAGGGTTTGCATAAATGACATGTTATTTTGGAATATCTTGGAACGTTTGTCCCATCATATTAATAGTTCTCCCGCTTTTACAGTCATGCGGTATGCGTATTTTATCTGGTCCTCCGAGCTCTGGACACTCTGGAAGATGACATGACCATCAGTGTAGAAAAAAAAGTCCCACTGCTACACAACTTTCACTCTTACCTTTACGAACCCGACTGGCGGTATATGGACAGCAAGGAGAAAGATCGACAAGTGCTAGAGGACTTCCCAACGGTAGCGGAATTACAGATTTCTCCTGCCTACGGTTGTGTGTATAATTGATGATATAGTTGTCAGCCAGCCTTCATCCCCGTGGAGAACAGTAGCAGAAGCAGTGTGAGGGCAGTGTAATCTAATGTGATGGGTAAGCTCTGGTAGCCGAGACTCTGAAGCCACGCTGCCTGGGTTGGAATTCCACCTCTTACACTTATTAGCCGGTGCGGAGTGACGTGGCCTGTGTAAACCTCAGTTTCTCCATCTATAGAGATAATACTAGTACCTGCCTCGCCTCGTAGTATTGCTGTGAGGCTTAAAAGAGTCGAGACAGGTTAGAAGGGTATTAGCTACTATTACCGTTACCACTGTGTTGCTTAAAAGTCCAGTGTTTCTTCCTTTGGAAAGATACATTCTAATTCCAGTGTCATAAAAGATGGATTCTCAGGCCCGCTCACAAAACCTGTTCCCTATCTAATACAGCCTAAGTGTAGAGGGCTTCTGGCTTCTGGGACCCTTAGCCTGGTAGCATGGCTGTGCTGTTCAGGATGGGTCCAGCTGTGGGGAGGACTGAGGAGCAGGGTGATCCTCTGCCACTTAGAGCTGTGTGATTCGGGACACATTCCTAAGTTTCTCTGCCTCAGCTTCCTCATTTGTAAATTTAGAGCTCTGAGGGTTGACAAGTTCCTATTTATAAGTACTTAGAAGAGTGCTTGCTGTATGCTAAGTATTCTATAATTATTAAGTGTTCGGTCCATTCCGTTGGACTTAAAGTGGGTTATAATTAAAACCTTGAGTTTTAAAACATTGACAAGGTTATGTTATATATGTGACTAGGTCTTACTTTTCTGGAATTTGCATGTCTTATCACACAAATAACTGCTTCTTTCATACCTCATAAATAAAAGGTTGATTTAGTGAAGTCTCATGTTCTCTAACAGACCAAAGAAGCCCTTCTTTTTGTACACAGTTGCCAGAATTGGGGGGGAAGAATAGTCCTCGTGTGGCTGTTGCTACTGAAACAGATCTATATTCCTGAGTGGGGAGGGGAGGAATCCACCCAATACAAAAGAATGTTTGAGAGACTCCTTTGGAGCAAGGGCTATTTCAGATTACTGAGATCGCGTCTTTGCTGTCAAAGACAAAAATAAAAGACAATAAAGTTCAAACCAAAAGAAAAAATCTGTGAGGAGTAAATAGGTGGAGCTGATACAGGACAATGCGATAGAACAGAGGAAGAAGGAAGAAGAACCCGCGAAGAATAGGTAGGGAATGAGAGCACTCACCTAGAGCAGGGACCAGTGATCTGGCTCGCCTAGGACACCTGTCACGTGACCAGAGGCTGGGTTTCCTCTGCCTGGAAATCGGTGGCCATTCACTGATGAGCTTGTGAAACTGCCAACACAGGAGGAAGTGCTACAAACAGGGTCCCATAGCAATTTATAACTGATGTGTATTCTCACTTAAAAAAGGTATATCCTAGCTAGAGCCTCCAAAACCAAAAAACCCTTCCAGACTATTTTCAAACTGAGTAGATTCATAAAAAATAATTTCTAGTCGTTGTGGGATAAGTGTTGTAGGTATTTGAAAAATCAAGGCAGCCCTATCCACTCAGCAGAAATGAAAGAATATAAAAATGTGTGAATGTCAGAATAATTGGGGGGGGATATAGCTAGTAGATGTTTGGATAATATTTCAATATGTTTAGAAAACCAAAAGTCTTCTTTATAAATAGTGCATTCCAATGGAAAAACAACAGTTTGTTCAAGCAAATTTCAACATTCAGTCGATCTTTTCCTGTGTTGGGGAGTAGGGTGAACGCAGACACTCCCCTCCTAAGAGCAGAGACTCGCCCTGGCAGAGTAGAAGGGATCAGAGGGCACAGGCCAGGCATTACTGTTTTGCTGTTGCTAACCCTTTATGTCCTTAATGTGAAACATCTGAAGCTATGTGTTTCGTGAGGATGCAACTTTGAATGGGAGGTCCGTTCAGCCTGTTGTTCCGATTGAGATAGGAATATATGGAAAGTCATAGTGTCTTATTTTCGTTGGGAATGCTTTGTGCACATGCTGATCAATCCCAGCATCTCCTTGAGACAAGATGCCCAGTTTGAAGGGTAAACCGTCTCCTTGGGTTAGGTGTACCGTCAGTTTCGGGCGAGGCCCTAAGGCAGAACAGATAACTTGGCCTCACTCACATAGTACTGCTCTTAGACTGAGGTAAGAAGGGCCCGCCCCTCACTTTACAGGGCCCCACTCAAAGGGGTGAGGGGTCCCCAGGGCCATGGGAGTGTGCCTGCCCAGAGCTTATGCAGCTCCCCTTCTAGACTATGTTCCGGGTCTGTGGAATTCCCTGCCCTCAATTCCCTGAGCTCCCTTCCCGGGTTGGCAGTCTGTTGCCTCTGGCCTGCCTTCTCCAGGGTGAATCATGCACCAGTGACCCTGCCCCTAGGCCTTCTGGGGCCAGACAGAGCCGGGAGTGGGAAGGCCAGGGTGCAGGCCGGGAGCTGGGGCTCAGCAGTCTCTGCCCTGCTGCATTTTTTGGAACAAGCCCTGAGGAAAATTTAAATTCACACCTGAGTCCTTCAGGTTGTGGTTAAGGTGTCTTCGTAAAAGCAGGAGAATAGCACATACTGTTTAACAAGTTACTAGTATGACTAATAATTTCAAGATTTTGAGCCAGTATGGTATGTGGGCCTCCATTTGTGCTCTTGTCCCAGGCCCCACAGACTTCAGGCTTAAGCCTAGACAGCGTGTTCTCACCAAGTGAGCCCCTCCCCAGTGTGTGTGCATTGAGATTGAACCTCGTGTTTTATGCTTTAGTGGCCATTAGTTGGTATCATTTGAAGCCAGACTTTCTGGAACTTTCACTGTATATTATGGATTAGATTAGAGTATATCTTTTTCGCCTGGTACTAGGGGAAACTAGTAGTCTTCCAGATCCACCCCAAACACAACTTAAGGAATGGCATAGGGTTATTTTTAAATGCTAATAGCAATAATAACATACATTTATTGAGCTATGAAGTAGTTATGAAATATATTTCAATGTTCATTCAATATTTGTATTATTTTATGGTAATGTAGTTTTAACATTTAATCACTGACATACTTTACTGCTCTTTTAAAAATTGGTTAAAGACAATAAAACTATTGGTTTTTCCAGAAAAAAAAATCAGTTAAAAACAGAATTTCGCATATAAGTGAAGAAGGTAGAATTACCCAGTGTTCTGATCATAACATCCTAAAGTTTATAGGGAATTTTTCTTTGTAGGTGAATGGAAGTGTCGTGCTACCCTTGGACCCCTACTTGGTATTTGGTCCTCCTCCATTATACTAGTGGATTCACCACGATATCCTTCCTTTGTGTACTTGAGTCACCGGAGAGTGACTGCAGGACCTACAAATCTACTGTAGTTGTCAAACAGAATTGCCTGGATGGACAGTAAAAAGTCCTTATGACTCGTTTCACTCGGCAAAGCTTGTCGTCGCTCCTACAGAGTATGTGAGACCGGGCTTTGCTCTCATAAATAAAATGACCTAGTCCAGGGTCTGTTGAAAGAATAGGGTCCTAGGGAGATTCAGGGATTCAAATACCCTTTGGTAGAGTCACTCGTGTGTTTCAGTCCCCAATAGGAATGACTTTTTGGCTTTGTCTTGGAACAGCTGTTCTGGAAAGAATAGCATTCTGGAAAGATTGGATTGATTTTATGGATTTGGGGGGAGTTTCACAGTTGATATTCAGAAGCCTAAGAAACCTTAGGCTTCTGAATCCCTTTGGTGCTGTGCAGCCAGCTGGTTTGCCCTCAGGTCCTTAAATAGAGGTGTTTCCTGAGGAAGCTTTTCTAACCATTCTGTAAATGTAGACCAAGTATTCTTCCCACTTGTTTTCAGTATTATGTGTTGGCTCCATTAATATCTGTAGCATTTAAAGAAATTTCGTGGTGTTTCTGTACTCTATTTGATCATCTAGAGATACTTCTTTAAACTTAAGTAGGATGTTTGTGCAATAGCAGTGAATTTAAAAACCATCAGTACAATTTCTACATTAGAGTTTGGGCTATGAAAAAAAAATATTGGGTAGCATGCCTCTGATTGAGCTAAATTGAGCTGTTTTAAGGAATTAAAATATATAGCCTTATAGTAGGGGAGACACTATAACTTCCTGATAGAAATCTGGGAATTGATGACAGAAAACGGGTTGGCTGATCTCCTTAGTAGAATGTAAACTGTACAGGGGCTAAGTGTCTGCTCCTTTCCAGGCTGTGTATCCCCAGTGCCTAGAACAAAGCTTGCTATGTAGGAAGTGCTTGATACACGTTTGCAGGAATGAGTCTTCCCTATCATGAGGTTTGTCTGAAATGGGGCATTCTTCCTAAAATTCTTACATTTATGTCCACTTTATGTAGAAGCACCTCATTTATTATCTATTGGAAAGATGAGTGTAGAGTGAGACTTTGATTTTCTTTTGAGTCTAGAAACTTTAGCATTTTTAGACCCTTCTATTTTAGCAATTATAACATTTCTGAGCTTATTATGCAATATGTAGAAAACTGGTACAACCTAGATGTTAGGCTTATAGATGAATCATTTGGGAGTCTTAATGAGTTCTGCTATTGCTTTGTTTTATGATCTATAGGTACCATGTTGGTTCCCAGTGTAAATACGTATTTCATATTTTCCTTTTTTTGTGATTTCCATTTCAGATCTCCCTTGAGTTTAGAAATTTGGCTGAGAAATATCAAACAGTGATTGTTGACATTTGCCGGAAAATGGGAGTTGGGATGGCGGAGTTTTTGGATAAACACGTAACATCTGAACAGGAGTGGGACAAGGTCAGTGTTTACAAAGTAGCATTGGTGTGTGGTGCATAGAACAGAGGTGGCAGTACGCACTGTGAAGTTCAGAGTGAGGAAGAAGTTGTCTGCCAGTTCCACGTTTTCTGGTTTTATAACCCACCTGTGTAGCTTGAATGTCTCATCATAAACAATAAAGGGGCTTATAATTGAATACTTGAAATAATCCATGCCCTAGGGCATTTACCATTAAGTCAGGCCAAAGTGAATATAACCTGTCCCAGAGGTTACACACATTAAGCTGCTTCTTTTTTTTCAGATTTTATTTATTGGGGCGCCTGGGTGGCTCAGTTGGTTAAGCGGCTGCCTTCAGCTCAGGTCATGATTCCAGAGTCCTGGGATCGAGCCCCGCATCGAGCCCCGCATCGGGCTCCTTGCTCTGCGGGGAGCCTGCTTCTCCCTCTCCCTCTCCCTCTGCCTGCTGCTCCCCCTGCTTGTGATCTGTCTCTCTCTCTCTCTCTCACTCTCTCTCTCTCTGTGTCAAATAAATGAAGTCTTTAAAAAAAAAAAAGATTTTATTTATTTATTTGCCAGAGAGAGACACAGCAAGAGAGGGAACGCAAGCAGGGGGAGTGGGAGAGGGAGAAGCAGACTTCCCACTCCGTGGAGCAGGGAGCCCGATGCGGGGCTTGATCCCAGGACCCTGAGATCACGACCTGAGCCGAAGGCAGACGCTTAACGACTGAGCCACCCAGGTGCCCCACACATTAAACTTCTAAAAATGTCTCTGACTTGCTGTGAAATTTTAGAGAAATGGCTAAGTTACTCCATGTAATACAGAGATATTCGAGGTTTTCAAATCTTAAAAATGTGTTTTTTGTTATTTACTTTCTTCCATCACTGAGTATGTGTGTTTTGTGGACACACCTTAGTATCTGAATCAATCTGCAGTTCCATGTTAGCACAAGATGACTTTTAAACTCCGTGCCAGCTTGACCCCGTTTGTTGACGGGAAGTAGGTATCACTTAAACTGTAAATTGTATGTGTGTTTCCTTTCCAAGTTTATGAGAATCCAGAGGTACTAGCTTAGGATCATGGGTGTGTTGTGCTGAGGAGTGAGTACCTTTCCAATGCCTTACTTCTTCTTTTCCCATCAGCTCCTTACAGAAATAACACAGTAGGAGAAGTTCCGAGTTTCTCGACCTCCCTCCCCCAATTCATCTGGTGGTTAGAAACGAATACGTGTGGGGACTGGCACTGGGAGACCTCACGTGGACGAGATTGGCTTCCTCGGGAGACAGAGGAGCTGGGAAGGGCAATGAGAGCAGATGATGTGGCAGATAAAATTATACTGGGCTTTTATTTGGCCTGAGTTTTTCCTGAGCAGCAGCTGTGTAGGATACTGGTCAGGGGAGGAGTTGGGTGGCAGGGAGAAAGTGCCTATCTAGACAAAGTGACCTAATTGACAGTGGGGACTAGACAACACCAAAATACGGGCTAGGAAGGAGGAGGGGTCTTGCCTATTTTCCATAGGAATGATGTTTGTGGGACTTCTTCATCACCCCCGTGGAAGCAAAGACCTTTTAAACATCTGGACTACGTGTGTATTTTTTTATCCTTAATAGTGTTCACATTAGGATCTCAGGAGAGAAGCGACTGTATACATACTCCTTGAGGGAGTATAGGTTCAAAGTCTGGCCTCTTAACCCTTCAGTTCCTAAAACTTGCTGGCATCATCTTGGGGGCTGCTGGCTAATGCTCTCCCACTCGGCATGAGTGAGGCTGCTTCTGGGATTGTACATTTATGAATTTAAAGTTAAAGCCAAAACTCCTGGCCAAGAATCAGCACTGGTTAGCTGCATGGTGACTCCCTTTTCTGCCGTGCAGACCTATTCAGGAGTCCCAACGATAGCTTGTTGAGTACAAGCTCTGATTAGATGAAAGTCAGTACTTTTAGTGATTCCCCCCCCCCCCCCCCCCCTTCAACTTTGGAGGAAGAGGACTACTTCCATTCTAGGAATATTTCTATGCAAAGAACTATTATCTGAAAATCTACTTTTCCTTGGGCAGTGCTAAGGACATACTGATGTTTTTTAGTTTCTAGTAATTCTTTTTAAATTTCTTGTAGTTGTCCACAGCTCATTTCTCTATTTTAGCATACCTTTTGTTTTGTTTTTTGTTTTTTTTTTTTAAAAGATCTTACTATTTATTTGGCAAAGAGAGACACAGCAGGAGAGGGAACACAAGCAGGGGGAGTGGGAGAGGGAGAAGCAGGCTTCCCGCTGAGCAGGGAGCCCGATGCGGGGCTCGATCCCAGGACCCCGGGATCATGACCTGAGCCAAAGGCAGACGCTTAACGACAGAGCCACCCAGGTGCCCCAAATATTTTAGCATATCTTTACTCTTTCCCAGATTCTTTCTTTCTTAGACCATATTTCAAGTGCTTTCTCTTTGCCATTTCATTGTGCCCTTTGATTAGTCTGGCTCTGTGTTACTTTCAACCAGGGGCCCTCCTTTGGTCTTTCCCGAACTTTTACCCTTCCTGATGTCCCCTCCAGAGTGTACCTTCTTTAACTGCTCTCCACTTCTTAAATTGTGTAATGGACATTCATTTCATAAGAGTATTGCATTAAGTTGTCTTGGAATACTCTTTTCAGGAGAGGATAGCTTTGACAAACCACTTTTACAGGAAAAGAATTCATTGACAATCGAGAATGATGTTTACCAAGATCTCTTTTGAGAAGAGGAAGTTTCAGCAAAGTTGTTAGAGCCTGCCTTGTAAGCCAGACTACCTGGCTTTGAGTCCCTGGCCTCTGACTTCCAGATGAGTGATCTTGGGCAATTAGTTGACTGACCCCTCTGTTGGCCCCGGTTTGCACATCTGTAAAATGGTGATAGTAATGATACATGCCTCATAAAGTGTCGGTGAGGACTGAATACGCAGAGTGCTTAAAAGCAGTGGCAAGAACAGACTGTGGTACTTTGTTCTTCTAGGTAATGAAGATTTTGAGACACTGCAAGATCTTGAAGTGTCTTCAAGACTAAACTCCACTTACTATTCTAGTTTCTATTAGAATATTCCTTATTCCCTCATTGCCTTCACTCTCAATTTTAGATATCAGAAAGCTTACTATACTAGTTTATTTTTTCAGTGACCTTTTATTCTAGGAGTAGTGCATGTCCACAGTAGAAATACGGAAAACTCAGGTGAAAGAATAAAACCATCACACCAGCCAGAGATCAGAGGTCACTTTGGTTAAGTCTTTTGTGCACACCCTTCTTGGATGTTCTTTTTTCCTTACATGTACATAGTGTATATTTGTGTACATGTTTGCGTCTTTTAATCAAAATGAGATCTTGTACATTCTGTTTGGAACCTGTTTTGGGGTTTTGTTTTGGGGTTTTTTTTTGTAGCTAATGATCTTGGGTGTTTCCATTTTAGTAAATACTTCATTATTTCTTACAGTACTGTCACTATGTCGCCGGGCTGGTGGGAATTGGCCTTTCCCGTCTATTCTCAGCCTCAGAGTTAGAAGACCCCTTAGTTGGTGAAGACGTAGAGTGTGCCAATTCTATGGGCCTGTTTCTGCAGAAAACAAACATCATTCGTGATTATCTGGAAGACCAGCGAGAAGGAAGAGAGTTTTGGCCTCAAGAGGTAACAGATGCAGGGGATTTGGGAAAAATAATTTTAAATACTTCCTCAAAACAAAACAAAACAAATCTTTTAGTTGTAAGTGATAGAAATATCAATCAAACTACCTTAGACAATGTAAGAGAATGTATAAAACAGGTTAGGATTTAGTTGGCTTCAGAGTAGACTGGCTAAATCCAGGGGTTCAGACTATGTATAGTCATACACACACACACTCACACTCACACTCACACAGAGACTCTGTCCGTGTTCTTTCTTTCCCTTAGATAGGCTTTCTCCGAGTGGGTGGATATAACAACTCATGACTCACAACCTGCTAGCTTAACAAAGAAGTTCTTAGGGAGACCAGTTGGTGGGGTGTGGATCCTGTGCCCAACCCATGATCAGTTACCGTAGCCAGAGGGCCGAGTAGTCGAACCACACCTGGATTATATCTTCCCAACACACATAGAATAGATTTACTACCCCCCCCCCACCAAAACAGAAGGATTCTGTGGCGGGAAGGTGGAAGATGCTAGAGAGGCAAAAACTGTAGGATGTTCATTATAAGAGACAAGAGTTCATCTTTGACTTAATTTTAAAAAAACGGATAAGCAAAGCAAAGGCTTGGACATTGGTTTTATTCAGAAGGAAAGCTAGAAAATCTTAGGACTATTTCCTGATTTTACTGTAGCATTTGCCTATTTCTTCCCATAAAATGGTTTCCTAAAACAAAGTGCTTTTAATTTTTTTAATTTCTAAAATTTAAAGATTTTATTAGAGAGGGAGAGAGCACAAGCAGGGCTAGGGGCAGAGGAAGAAGCAGACTCCCCACTAAGCAGGGAGCCCCATGTGGGGCTTGATCCCTTGACCCTGAAATCATGACCTGAGCTGAAGTCAGATGCTTAACTGACTGAGCCACCCAGGCACCCTAACCAAGTGCTTTTAAAGTGAATAAAAGGCAGGTGACAAAGTAGGGGAAATATTTGCAACTTATACCGCAGATATGAGGCTCATATCCCCAATACAAAAACTGCTAAAAGGTAAGACCAGCTACTTTTAGAAAACCGGGCAAAGAGATAAGAACAGATTGTTCATGGAAAGAAAGATCTTTTTTTTGTTGTTTTTGAAAGAAAGATCCTTAAACAGCTGAGAAGATGATCAATCTCACTCCTAATAAGAAAACTTCACATTAAAACAACCCTGGGCTGAGACATCCTACTTTGCCAAGCTTCCCAGGTGACTCCTGTGCAGGCAGGGTGGCCAAAGAGCTCTTGACCACCTTTCCTTGGACACCAAGGCTCAGCGAAGCGCAGGTGTTTGTGTGAGGACCCGCAGTGAGTCAGTGGCCACCTGAAAGGGCCGCCTCGGTCTCTGGGTCTCAGCTGGGGCCTGCCCCCTGTTACCACACTGTCTCTCACCCAGGCGCGTCCTCCCAGCGTGGGTCATGTGCACCAGCTGTGCAGGTCTGCCCACGGTTCACTTCCCTCCTCTGTAATATTGAATAGCTGTTAGACCACAGAATAGTGGTGTGGATAAAATGAGATAAACTTTGGCCAGGGTGCTTACTAAATGTAAGTTCAAATAACTTAACCAAAAATGAGAGAAAAGAACCCTGAGAGACTATTTCTGGGGTCGGATTGGCAAAAATCATGTTTGGTAATCGCCAAGCAAGACTGGGGACATAGGCACTGTGTGTGGCTGGTGAAAGTGTGTCCTAGTGCAAACAGCCCTGAGCACGGGCAGCTTGGCAAGTGAATAATATGGGAGCTTCTTGAGGCAGCTTTGTTTCTAATAGTTAGAGTTTATAAACAACTGAGATGTCCATCTATACAGGACTGATTGAACTATGGTATATTCACTTGGTGGAGCACAAAAAGAAATAAACTAGGGAGTGATCTCCAGGTTATATATTATTAAGTGAGAAAAAGCAAGGTGCGTGCACAGCAGTGTAAACTCAACGTAATGTTTTCAGTAATTATACTGTGAATAATATTGTTACTGAAATACTGAAACTATTATAGAAACTCTATAACATAGCAAATAGGCAGTTGTGTTCGTATCAGTCTAGGAACCAAGATTTTCACTCTAAAATAAAAGGTACAAATATAAAAATATTAATAAAGTTAAGCCAAACTCCCATAATCCTAAACTGAATTGGAAATATCAGTATGAACTCCTGATACAGATTCTCTTAAAAAAAAAAAATGTTTAGCTCTCTCTACCAAGAGGTATAGACACAAACCAGTAGAAATGTGTACCGCTGGTGTGTTCCAGTTTGGTCTTTTAATACCATTTCCCAGCACACAGAATAGTGGGGCAGGAAATATACAAAATGAGCTTGGGATACACTGTCACGCCAGGAAATAAGAGAGTTGTCAAAGTAAAAAGTACAGCATAAAAAGGTACAGGATCCAGTTCAAAGGCGTTTTCACTGACCACACATATGGAACAATTTGAGTATCAAAAAGAATAAAGACTGCAGTGGGTTAAAGCACACCAAATGTGTTTAAATCTAAAAATGAGCATGTGCCTCTTGAAAGATGGTGTGTTCTCTTACCAAGAGGCACACAACATCTGATCTTTGCCCACTTTTGATGTTAGCAGTCATTAGGCTTCATGCCTAGTTCTGCTAATTTATTGGGGATCAAGTCCCGCATCCGGCTTCTTGCTCAGCGGGGAGCCTGCTTCTCCCTCTGCCCGCCGCTCCCCCTGCTTGTGCTCTCTCTCCTTTCTCTTTCTCTGATACATAGATAGATAGATAGATAGATAGATAGATAGATAGATAGATAGATAGATAAAATCTTTTTAAAAACCTCATATCTGATTGGGTTTAATCTGTTGTAATTTTTCTCACTACAAGAAGAGGTTCAGGTTGGCTCCTGAGTCCTCATGAGGGGGACCCTTAATAGTCTTTGATAGCTTTCTTGCCATTTGGTATGTGAAGATGTTCTAAGCCCATTTTGTACATTTCTTGCCTGAGCTCTGGACTCCGCCAGCTCTTAAGAAGCCCGTCCAGGACACCTGGGCTAATGGGAAATAGTACCCAACACTGCACTTGCTCACTAGGGACAGTTCACTGCTCTTGGGATAGTCACTGTATGTGTGTGTTTAGTTGTAAAGCTCAAATACCTTGTAAGTTTATATTGATATTTCCAGTTCAAACTCAGGACCATAGGATTGTTACATAATCTCCTCTGTATTACATTTCTACTTCATTTCTTCCTTATCGAGATTCATACTTCTCAGGGAAATCAGAGATGCTAGAATGAGTATATACCATGATTACTCATTTGCTTTTTTCCCCCTCATTACAGATCCTGCAGTCTCTGAATAATGATACTCAACTACCACCAAAATTGAAGACATTTTTTGCATATGCTATACTAATTCCCAATTTTTTGTGATTGTATTTATTTCTGAATCGTCAGATTAGATAGCCATTGCCACTGTAATATCTCCCTTTCCTCCTTACTTAGTCTTAGTTTAAGCTCCTCACCAGTCTTTATATTATGTCTCCAGTCATTTTGGCTGTCTGGAGCTCGCACCCTGATAGGAGAGACCCATGAGAATAATAACTCCCCATGTTTATACAGATTGATAACAATTTGTGGCTTTGATGTTTGAAAGTTAGTTTTTCTAGATACAAAATTTTTAGCTCACATTTTTGAGTATCCCATATTCTTCTGCTTTACAGACCGGCTGTTGAAAATCTAAGGATCACTTTCTTTTCCTTATAAGTTACGGGTTCTTTTTGTTTTCCTTGGTGGTCACTGCCTAGATCTCTTATCACTGGAGATGCCGAAAGGTGATGTCCTAATTTTATCATCGTTTCTGCATCTCTTAGCAGGAATTTGGGATTTTGTAAAAATGGAAGTGGTGGTGGCCAGTCATGTGTTTGGGGGAATGTATAGAGTGACATTAATAAGCATTATTCTTTGGGAAGCTTCAGAGTGACCAAAAATGAAAGTAAGTTCTTTGCTAGCTTCAGAGACTCCTTTAAATAATATCATTAAAAATTGTCAAATCAATCCCACTGTTGCAGTTGAAGATGTTATTTCGCTTTTGAGTTACTAAGATCCAAGGAGGTAATGTTCTCATAGTATAGACTCAGCTCATTTTCCCTCAGTACACTTGTTCAGCAGCATTCTTATCAGAATTGGGAATGCCATGTTAATCGTGATTTACTTTGAGGCCTGACCATCTTCAGAATGCTTAACATTTGGCTTGCAGTACTGTTGTGGCTGATTTTGTATCTATCTGGTTATATTTTTCAGGAGGAGACTAATGCCTTCTGGAATAATGGGAGTCATCAGAGTATTGCTTAGTACATGCTGTACTATGTGTCCCTAAGGGACAATTTCCCAAATACTTAAATGACTCCTAGGTTGTGATCAGACCCAGACTGGTCATCATAAAAAGCCACTGCGTGGAGCTTAAAACAGACTTGATCTTGGTGAAAGAGGAGTCCGCAGCTAAGAAAAACTTCACTGTAGATCATAGTTCTTATTCACAAAGATTCTTTCCTATTGCTTGTACATTCTTCCCTTATGCACATGCTAACTTATTTTTTAAGGTTTGGAGCAAATATGTTAAGAAGTTGGGCGATTTTGCTAAACCACAGAATATTGACTTGGCTGTGAAGTGCCTGAACGAACTTATAACCAACGCACTACACCACATCCCAGATGTCATCACTTACCTTTCAAGACTTAGAAACCAAAGTGTGTTTAACTTCTGCGCTATTCCACAGGTATGCAGTGGAGCTCTTCTTGTATATGAGGGGTGGAAGCTAAAAGGAGCGGCGTGGTTGTGGTGATGGGGGTGGAGAGAATGCCTTTACTATTTTGGTTTGCTGTATTCAGGAATATGGTTCCTTTTAAAAAATGACTCTGGTCTATTTTCTTTTGCTGGGGGGGAGGCAGGCAGTGTTTCACTACATCTCCCCTCTACCCCACAACCACCATACCCAGCTCAGCCTCCTTAGATCCTTAGCCTCACAATTAAATCTAGGGCTTTGGCTTAGATTTGGGGGGAATGCTGGGTAAAATGTAGGTGAAGGTTTATCATTACAGACTCTTACTTAAGCGCTTAGTTTTTGCTGTCCGTTTCCCAGACTCAGGATAACACAACCTGATCCTATGGACCTAGCCCCTCAGTCCTCTAGGAGCTTACACTTTTTTAAATGCCTTTGCCAATTATTTCAGTTTTTAACTCAAATACATGAAAGTCATAGGATTTAACTGATTTGGAAACTTGATTTTTTTTTTTAAGATTTTTATTTATTTGAGAGAGAGAGAGAGAGAGAGCGAGAGCACGAGCACGAGCAGGGGGAGGGGCAGAAGGAAGAGGGAGACTCCCCGCTGAGCGTGGAGCCGACACAGGGCTCGATCCCAGGACCCTGGGATCATGACCCGAGCCGAAGGCAGACACTTAACGAAGGAGCCACCCAGGTGCCCCAGTAGATATTATTTTGAGATACATTTTTTGGCTCTCTAACTCATTACTCTAGCATAGAAAATGATGTATGGACTTAATGGACTTATTTTTTCCAAATAAAAAGGAACTTTCGTGGTCACACCAAAGAATCATTTAAGACACAAAGACCACTTGATTCTATGTATTGTTGGAGAAGCAAGGAGTGAGAAAGGTCCAAGTTTTGACATGCTTTCTTCATGGTGATTTTTTTCTTGGTTAGTTCCATCTTAGCCCTTTGTCACTTTCTTAATCTACAGAACTTTTTTTCACCTTTTCAAAATGGTGATGTTTAGCATGCCATTTCTTTTTTTCATGAAATGAAATAAATTAGTGTTTTTTTTTTTTCTTTTTCTCTCTCCCTCCTTATATCTGAAGGTGATGGCCATTGCCACTCTGGCTGCCTGTTATAATAACCAGCAGGTGTTCAAAGGCGTAGTGAAGATCCGAAAAGGGCAAGCAGTAACTCTAATGATGGACGCCACCAATATGCCGGCGGTCAAAGCTATAATCTACCAGTACATGGAAGAGGTGGGTTCTTATTTCACTACCTGGAGAATCTGTAGCTATTTTTAGGATTTAAATAATGTCACTGTTTAAACAGTTCATATTTGGATATTAGATGATCCTAACAACTCACTGTGTTATGGTATAAAGAGACAGGAGTTGGTGTCCTTTATTAGGAAACAGTGTGTGCACAGATTGCTGATCGATCAGAGCCGCATGGCACCCCAGTGGGAGGGTATAAATGCAGCGAGCCTCTAGGGTGGAAGCCCCTAAGGAGGATGAGGTTTTTTGAGGCAGAAGATGATGGTAGAGGCCAGCCCCAGGCTTCTTGATTCATGGGTGAGGAGAGTGAAGCCGAGGCTTGTGCATGCTAACACAGTATCTGACCGAGTGGATCTCAGACCCCAGGCCAGGTTGCCTGTCACCCAATCCAGTACTTTCCATTACGTCATAGGCCTCAACTGAGAAACCACAGTGGGGAATTCCAGCAAAGGAAAATCATCAAGTTGCAATGATTTCTCAATTTTCTAATGCAAATCTCATTTCAAACGCCAGAACTACCCTATAAAACAAAACATACTTGTTCAAGTCAGATCTCCTACTGTGGAGATATAATCTATGACTAGGTTCAAAAAACTTTCTGTTAGAGGCTGAAACTAATCACTAGGCCCCAGAGTGGTGGTTCTTAATTGAAGGGGCTTTTGCGCCTCCCCCGCCGCCCCCACCAGCGGACATTTGGCAATGTCTGGAGATATTTTTTGTGATGCTCACACTGGCGAGGGGGGTGGCTGCTGCCTTCTGGTTAGTGGAGGCCCTGAGATCCTTAGATTCTTACTGAAGATTGAACTACTACAGAAACACATGAAACATGAAAGACCTTCTTCCTTCCTCCCTCCCAGAGAGAACTATTGCTGTCAATAATTTTCTGCCTCCTTCCCGTCCTCCGGTTACACCTTCACAGGGATGTGATGTGTAATAGTGGTTTCCCCTAAACAGAATTCTGCCAAACAGTGATTTCCTCTGATTTCTATTGCCTATTGCACATTCTCCTTGGAGTTCCTCCCTGTCTTTTATCTGACAAGCTTTGGACCTCTGCATTTCTACCAGAGGCACCTATAGAAGACATAAGAGAAGAGACCCTGGGTGGCTCAGTCGGTTAAGCAGCTGCCTTCAGCTCAGGTCATGATCCCAGGGTTCTGGGATCGAGTCCCACGTCGGGCTCCCTGCTCAGTGGGGAGCCTGCTTCTCCCTCTGCTCCCGCACCCCCCCACCGTGCATGCTCTCCTTCTCTCAAATAAATCAATAAAATCTTAAAAAAAAGACCAGATTTTTTTTAAAAATCCTAAAATTCTTTGGTGACTAGATACAGTGTTCATTCAGCCATTGACCAAAAAATTGCTACTAATGAGACTTGGGACAGTCTGGTTCACCAGCACTTCCTTTGAGCTTGCTGTGTGCCTGGCAGAGGAACAGAATAGGTGGGTACTGTTAATATCAAGGAAACTTGAGCTGGAGCCATAATTTGGACCCAGATCTGGCTGACTTCAGAGCCTGCGCTGTTCACTACAATTCTAAGGGATTTGGAGTACCCTTTCCAAACTAAGTAGTACCGTATTAGGCACTTTTCCTCCATTTTATATAATGTAGTATGTAAGTCAGAGAAGATTTCAGTTGAGTTGAGAGGCTGCAACAGTTGAGTGGCCCACAAAGCTGAAAATATTTTTCTGGCCCTTTAAGAACATTTGCAGACCCCTGATTTAAGGCATCAGTTGTTTCAAGCTACTCAAGGTAATTTGGGGGGGGAGATGTTAATACTTGAGTTGATTTGATTGAGAGAAATCTCTGAAGACTTCCAAGTCTGAAGGAATAAAATGTAATAATGGCTTTGATGTCAGCATGAATGAAATTTCAAGTGAAACCTTTTTGTATCAAGTCCACAAGTTGTCTGGGTTTTTGGTTTTTTTTTTTTTTAGGATTTTGAGAGAGAGAGAGTGCATGAGTGAGGGGGAGGGGCAGAGGGAGAAGCTGACTCCCCGCTGAGCAGGGAGCCTTATATGGGGCTCGATCCCAGCTGGATCGGGACCTGAGCCGAAGGCAGATGCTTCACTGACTGAGCCACCCAGGTGCCCCCAGTTGTCTGGCTCTTTGCTGCTGTCCAATTATTAACACTGAATCCTACTTCTCCTCACTGATCAAGTCTGTCCTTTGCAGGGAGACAGGAAGACACATTTATTCTGTCGGGTCTCTGGGCCTAACTGGTGGTAACCATAATGCCTTTGCAGGGGACTTGCAGGCTTTCCTCCTGCATGCCTTTGCAGGGGACTTGCAGGCTTTCCTCCTGCAGCTCTAGTGTTTAGTGGAAGAGTCAGAGTGACAGCTGAACCTTGCTGAGTAGGTGGGCACTGCTCCTCAGTGTCCTTCGTCGTCTGGAGCAGCCTCAGCTTCAAACCAGTCTGGATACCTGTCAGCTGGCGAGAAGCTCCACCAGCTATTTTGGGGCAGAAACAAATGCTCCGGCAAAGAGCCAGAAACTATTATTTCCTTCTCTGCCAATGCTCATTCCTTGGTGAGGGCAAGCTTTTTGAAGCTGGTGCAGCCTCCGGGTTCACCCTGTGCTGTGGTTCGTCTAGAGCATCGTCCTGCCCTTCAAGCCCTTCTTGTGCTCACAACTCACAAGTGTGGTCCTCGGGTCAGCAGCATCTGGGGCCCCTGGACGCTTGCTGGAGTCTCACGCCAGCTCGAACCCACTGCATCAGAATCTGCCTTTACCAAGCCCCCCAGGTGATCAGCTGTGGACAGAAAGGCTGGAAAGCACTGCTGTTATCCCACCCTCTCCTCAGCTGCTGCCGCCTTTTCCCCATGTGAGGAAGTGCGGGATGGTGTGTTGTGAACCTGCTTCGCTCCTCTGTGTCCGCCTCCCAGGTGTGAGCCTAAGCCCTGTGTGTACACGCTCCTGCGCCCACCGCCCCCACCGTCGCCCCCTCGAGATCTGCCGCCTCTTCCTCCAAAGCCCTCTCCTCCCCCTGTCACTCCTCTAGTCTGTATGTGCGCTCGGGCCACTCAGCTTCAGAGAGCTTCAGAAAGTCAAAATATAACTCTGGCTTGACTTTGCTCCTTTCTGCCTACTCCCCCCGCACCCCGCCACTTAAGCTTCTCGAAAGATACATGTACTTCATGTTATTTATTCCCATTTTTTTCTCAACCCACCTCACGCTAGCCAGCTTTTGTTCCTACCTTGTTATGAGAACTGTGCTTACTGAAGTGCTCGGATGACCTTCTAATGACCAGTTTTTAAAGCATTCTCCCTGATCCCACTGTATTATTTGACACTGGCTTTCTCACCTTGAAAGCCTTTTCCCCTCTAGGCTTCTGTGACGCTTGCCTCCAGTTTAACCTCTTACCTGCCGACTCCTCTGCCCTTCTGGCTCCTATACTGATATTTCCCGGAGTTCTGTCTTGGTTTTCATTTCTTCTCACTGCACAACAGCTTTCTGGTATTCTCTTTGATGGCCCGGCTTCTTTCTCCACCACATGCTCATCACTCCTGACTTGATTAGTCCAGCTCAGGACTTGGTCAGAAACTTTTTATTTTTTTGCTTAATGACATTACCATTCGCCTGATCAAGGAATCCGGATAACCCAGGCTCCTCCTTTATTCCCCTAACCCTGATCCATAGGAATCTCTATATCCCACCTGTTCCACCTATAAACTTTCTTACTTGTCAGAATTTTGCACGCATTACCCTCTGACCAAGCAATTCTAGGACTTTACGTGCAAAATTAGCCAGAAAATGTGCAGAGGTGCTTATTGTGACATTTTGTCCTCAGTCCTCATTGGGAAGGAATTGATTAAATTATAGTACATTCACATTATGTGGCTTGTGTTTAAAAACAGAATGACGTCATTTTCTAGGTTCTGGCATTAAGAAATGTCCATAAAAAATTATGTGGGTGAAAAAAGTCAAATCTCAGTATAATCTGTTTATAACCTATTTTAAAAATAAAATTGTGTATAATTTTATATGCACAATGTAGTCATATATTTATCCACTATATAGAATATAGTCATTCATTTTTTTTTTAAGATTTTATTTATTTATTTGACACAGAGAGAGAGAGCACAGGCAGGGGGAACAGGAGAGGGAGAAGCAGGCTCCCCGCCGAGCAGGGAGCCTGATGTGGGGCTTAATCCCAAGACCCTGGGATCATGACCTGAGCCGAAATCAAGAGTCAGATGCTTAACTGACGGAGCCACCCAGGTGCCCCTGCATTGCTTGTTTTTATAAGCATAACTCCATCATCTAAGTGTTTTTTAAAAGAAAGTAGAGGAAATTACAGTTTCATCCCTGCTTCTGTTGTTCTCTCTAAAGCTATTCTTGGTAGCATAATATTAGATATTAGATATCATTAGCGTATTTCGGTAGGCGCACATATATATATATATATATATATATATATTTTTTTTTTTTTTTTAATTGAGCTCTTTGCCCACTGCGGGGCCTGAACTCATGACCCCAAGATCAAGAGTCACATGCTCTCCCGACGGAGCCAGCCAGGCGCCCCTGTAGCCATAATCTTTTATTTTCTTGCTATACTAAAGTGCAGCTCTGCCCTTTTGGTGGGGAGGTGGGAGGGTGGCAAGAGTATGATGTATGTCTATGGAAAAAAGTACCCATTATATAATGAAAATTTTGGGAAAAAATTATTTAAAAATATGCCTGCTCTGTCGTCTTCCTCCTCTTTGCCTCCGTCTTGGCTCCGATCCTTGTCACTTCCCACCTCCGTCATCTCTTAGCTACTCTGTCAGTTTGAGTCAGTGACCGTTTGCGTGCCAGGCACAGAGCTGGGCTGGAGGCAGAAAGATGAGGAAGATGTGGTGCCTTTGAGACTTGCAGTCCAGGGAGACACACAGAAATAGCTGAATTCAGTGTTAAAGTGATAAGGGAGGTGTTATGTGCAGGAGAGGGGCACGTGGCCCAACCTGGGGGTTCAAGGCAGGTTTTCTAGAAGACCTAATATCTAAATTAAGACTTGGGCAACGGGCAAGAGTTAGCCAGGTGAAGGAGTGTGACAGGCATTCCAGGAGTGGGGAATAGTGTGAGCGAAGAGGGGAACAGAAGCGTGCAGAACAATCCACATGTAAGACAACAGTCGAGTTGTTCCAGTGGTGAGAAAAGACAGGCGGGCAGCAGCAGGTGAAGCTGGAAAGGTTCAGTGGCCCCAGGTCACGGGTGGCCTTGTGCTCCGCAGCACTGAGCTCAGACCTTAACTCGGCAACCCATAGGGAGCCAGTGGGGGGGGGTGTCAAGCAGAGGTTTTCGGTTTTTGGGGGGACAGTGTGGCAAGCAGGTGAGTGGACTTCAGGGTTCAGTAGAGTCAGGAGCTCAGTTTGGAGGCTGGTCATAGCTCAGGTGAGAGGCATCGAGGGTCTCGCCCGTAGCTGTGTTGGAAGCGTGGACGGGAGGCCTGGGTTCAGCAAATGCTTTGGAGGTTTGTGGAGGGGGCGGGAGGGGCAGAGGCTCCAAGAGGGTTCTAGGAGGACTGCTCTCCGGCCCCCAGCTTCTGCTCTCGCCTTTCTTCATCCAGCCTGTGGTCCACACCACAGATTCCGTCTTGTCTGGCTGTGTTTGCCCTGCCTTTTCAGTAACCTTCCCCCGCAGCGTGTTGCGCTGCTCCAGCGCGGTCAGACTCTGCCGATGTTCCCAGGCTCCCCCTCTGTGCCCGGCGCTGGGAGGCACCGACCGGAGAGGACCTGGGTGGCTGGCTCCCTGGGGGCAGGGATGCCCTGGTGCCCCCTAGGTCAGGCTGCGCGACGATACGAGCCTCCGTGGACAACCCTGCCTTATCAGTGGGGTGACTTTGGGTTATTCCTTTCGTGTTCTCTGAGCCTGTTTGCTCATTGGGAAGAGGGACATGAGATACCTCCCTGTGTAGGGTTACGGTAAGAAGTAAACACAGAAGGTGTTTATAAATTTTCTAGGACTCACTAAGTGGCACTTAAAATTTTCTCCTTTCTTTAACAGATTTATCATAGAATCCCCAGCTCAGACCCATCTTCTGGTAAAACAAGGCAGATCATCTCCACCATCAGGACACAGAATCTTCCCAATTGTCAGCTGATCTCCCGAAGTCACTACTCCCCTATTTACCTGTCATTTGTCATGCTCTTGGCTGCCCTGAGCTGGCAGTACCTGAGCACCCTGTCCCAGGTCACAGAAGACTACGTTCAGACCGGAGAGCACTGACTGGGATATTGGTCTGGAAGCTCAAGTTCACCCTGAAATGGGCTGGCCTTTTCTTCAAGAAAAAGGATATTGGCACCCCCCTCCCCCCTTTTTTCCCTCCCGCTTTAATCCCTGAAAGAACTCTGTGGACTTGAGACTTTTAGAAACTGTGACATGCGGTCAAGAAGCTAAGAATACAAGGGAAGGCTACCTCACCCTCGGCAGGCAGGCCCTCGCGGGTGGTGCTCACGACTGCGCGCCATGGCCAACAGCAGAGGGCCGCTCACTGCAGTTCAGGGGACATGGTGGCATGTGGGGCTGCCGAGAGGTCTTACTTAGTGTGAATCTTGACTAGAATTCTAATTAAATGTATTTAATTTGAAGCGACCTTGGAATACATGTCCTTGTACAAAGTGAAGTGAATTTTCTCCGTTGGGTTCCCGTTTTTCTCATCATTTTGTTTTATTCAGTTGATTTGAATGTAGTAGACGTCCGTGTTTGTAGGTCTAGGCAACAGCCCTAGGTTTCCTAAGAGTGCAGACTGTCTTCTGCCCATGAAGGCTAAGGACTGACTTCTGGGGGTTCTGGAATCGCTTCCTGGTTTAAAAGGAGGTTAGCTTTCAGAAAGAAACTGCGGGATTGCTTTGGGTCCCATCGTGGAAGACTGGCCTCCAGTTAAGGCTGACTTTTTAAGAAGACATCATATATAAAGATGTGTTTATAATGAACTGAGTTACTTTGCATCTGTCGAGGGCAGCTCATTTGAAAGCCTGGATGAGCACGGCAAATAGGAACGCAAGAATGGAGTCAGTGATGGAGGGACTGATGGCCGTCTGCGGCCCCCGCAGAGCCAGCCAGAGCAGGACCAAGAAGAAGGACCCAGCTGCCTGGGCCCTGCACGGCTGTGCCTGCTGGAAACGAGCCTGCGAGCCTGCGGCAGCCTCGCCTCCCTGGCCAGCTTGGGACCTACACTCCCTCTACCAGCCTGCTGTCCCCCTTGGCCGACTCTTAGCCGCATGCAGAAATGTTACCATGTCCAGGATTTTTGTGGGGTTTTTTTGTCTTTTGTTTCTTTTTTTTTTAAATCACCAGTTTATACATGGAAGCCTCGAGAAAGGCAACGTGTGTTTTCAGGTGATGGGCTGGAAAGCCGAAGAGCATTTAGCCTCCTCCTTCTAGCATCACTGTCTGCCTTGAGCCCCGCACAGGCCGGGGGTGTGAGGCACACTCACCCAGGACCTTACTGCGAATCTAGGCCTGGGCCGGGGAGGACACGGCCCCTCTTGGAGGGTGTTTGAAAAAGCCCCTCAAGCTGAGGAATCACGGTTGTGGGGCATGAAAGTACTTTCTAGAAGCCATTCATACCCTCGGTGTATATAGCCTGCTCTTCCGCTGCCGTCCTTTGTGTGCGGTGATGTAATCATTGAAGCTGAGGGTTTTCCAAAACCAGCAGGAGTGCTGGTCTCGCATTGTTACACACGTACTCACACTGCTGTCCCTTCATGTCCCCGGCTGCCACCGAACACAGTGGCCTAGTTTCGGTCCCTGGAAGCTGTGGTGAATTGGTTCATCTGAGGGTCGGTCCTGGACAAACTTGTCACCACGCTGAAGCCAGGCGTTTGCCGCATGGGGTACAGCTCTGAGCCAGGCTCCCCAGGAATTTTCCTAGTAATTTAAGCATCAGAACTTGGTTTAAGATTCCAAGGTGGGTTGTTAGAAATTTGTGTGTTGAGATGCCGGATGAGTTCTGCTACAACCCATGTAGGACAGAGAACAACCTGGTGGAAATCGTGGTCTGGGGTGGGTGTACTGGAAGGTTTCTCTCCTGGCTCAGTCATGACCTGCGGGACTTTCTGAGCTTCTGTATGGTTTAGAAGATCTCCTAGGCCCCTCCCGGCCATAAAGTTATGTGACTTTTACTATCACGGACTCGTGCAAAGTCTTAGCTCTTGTGCCCACTCCTGAGTGCTTTGGAAGATCATTTTCCTTCTAAATATATTTCTCTATTAAAATTGCCAGATAGGGGCGCCTGGGTGGCTCAGTTGGTTAAGCGACTGCCTTCGGCTCAGGTCATGATCCTGGAGTCCCGGGATCGAGTCCCACATCGGGCTCCCTGCTCGGCGGGGAGTCTGCTTCTCCCTCTGACCCTCTTCCCTCTCGTGCTTTCTATCTCTCATTCTCTCTCTCTGAAATAAATAAATAAAATCTTTAAAAAAAAA